AAAGCAAAGCAGCATGTTGTATGCGTGAGAGATGAAACCCAAGGGAAGATGCCTCCTGTGGCTTTTTGAGAACATGCCACAGCCAGCGTATGAGGTGTTTCAGAGGAGCTCTTTTGAGGGGGAGAAATGCATTGCTGAGGGTTGAGTCTGAGAGAGTAACTCATGGCTCACAGCTCTTGCTCAGAAAGTATTCTCTGGATTGTAGATTGTACTCTGTGACCCCATACCTAAGGGATTTGGGGACAAAACAGAGGAGAGGAAAGATGGCTTGAACTAAGTATCAACTCAACAGCCACAGAAAATACCAGTTACATACTTTGGAAAAGATCCACTGGCTCTTGAGAACTATATCCTATAGTCTTTCAGCAGCTTTTGGTTTAGCTTCTCTGAAGCCTTTAGAAAGATATGAACCACATTCAAAGTGAAAACAAAAGGAAGAATTTAAGAGATTTACACCACTCTGTCACTTGGAGTTCTGTCTTGATCTTTGGAATAGTATAAAATGTCATTTATTCATTTGATTTATATGAATTCAGAGGGATCAGACTTACTGCAAATCTGATGCTTCTTTGTAAATATAATGGCATAATCTGGTATTTACTCCTAAATTCCAGCCTTCCAGTGGTCTCTTAGTAAAAGCTATATTTTGGAGGCCAGTGGAGGGGAGGGGGGGAAACAGCAGCAGTCATAACCAGGGGAATTGCAAAGTTATCATCATTATTAAGTTAGGAGAAACTATTTCAATCAGCAGAAGTCCCATTAAGGAAGTGATTACAGAGTAGAGACAGTGTTATGTTTTCTATTTACTCGTTCCTGACTTTATGAACACTATAATTTAAAGGAATTTCTATAATTTAAGAGAGATGAATGAGTCTGCAAGGATAATTTTCAATTCCAAAACGCTCAGGTTAATCTAAATCGTACCAGCCACAAAAGATATTAAAAACAAACAGTTGAACTGAAGTGCTTAGCTTTTCCAGAACTACATGAATTTTGCTATAGCAGAAGATTTTTACATCTGTATTCTTGACTACACTGATGAGCTGGATGATAATAATAAAGTTGACTATCATTGTGAAAAACAAATTTCAACATAGATTTAAATTTTCCCTTATGGAATTATAACAGTAAAGATTTAAAAAATGCTATCCACCAGAAAGTCTGTGATCCTTGGACTAAGATCTTATTTTCAAACAAAGGATGGATTTTCTCCAGTATCTCCATGGTCTTTCTCTCAGGTACCCACTGCCTAATTTAGAGATTCTGGCCAGGCAGGGAAGGTAAAAGGTATCTCCTAAGATTTGGGGAACTATTTGTTTGAGTGAAATTGACATAAAGACTGGGAATCTTAAGTATTTTTCTCACGGATATGACTACTAAATCATTTCCAAAAGGTAATCAACTTTCTGCCCTGGAAGAAAGGAGCAGCCCTTAAAAGCAAGGACAACTTTCTTTGTGATCAATGGTTTGGGCACAGAGAGCTGGACTGTACAAATCTCCCTTTATAAAAGACAGTGCCAATCAATAAGAACCTCATTTTCCTATTGGGACATTAGGCTTGGACCAAAGATTTGATGCCAAAGAAAGTAGATGGATCCTGCTCTACACATGAAGTCATATACTCCAAGCCCTGTGACTTTGCATTAAAGGCAGCACTTTGAGAAGTGCTGCTATTTGAGGCAGAGAAAACAGAGGGCTCAGGGAAGGGGGAAAAGCCAGGGTTTCTGCTGAGTGCAGAAAGCTTTGTTCTTGCTTTTTAATATATGTCTTAACAATTGTATGTGATATCCTTATGATTAAAGAACATTTTTTTTCTTCTTCTTTTTTTTTCCTGTCCTGGGTTCAAACTCTGGGCCTAGATGTTGTCCCTGAGTTTTGTTTGTTCAAGAACACCGCTCTACCACTTGAGCCACAGTGTCATTTCTCACTTTTACTGAGTAGTTTATTGTAGAGTTTAAAGGACTTTCCTGCCCAGGCTAGCTTTGAACCTCAATGCTGAGATCCCAGCCTTCTGAGTAGCTAGGATTACAGGCATGAGCCACCTGGCACCTGGCTAAGAACCTGGTTTTTTTTATCTTGTACTCATTTACCAAATCTAGTAATCCCACTTTACAATTTGGGAAAACAGAAAAGGAGAACTTGAAGGGATTCCAGGTAAGTCAGATGTTCAGATCATGAGAGGACTCTCATCTGAAACTGAGTGTGCAGAATAGATGAGGACAGAGATTAAAACATTTTCACCAATTTCTTTTGCCACTCATTCTACCAAGGGCAGCACCTGTCTCCCCAACACTGGGGTCTGGAACATCCTGGTGACCTGTATTACCAGCAGAATGAAGTGGAGAAGATGCTCCCCTTCTCTGCTTCTCTCAGGATATCTGTTCTTTAGAAACCCCAAAACTACTATGCTGTAAAGGGGTCTGATATTAAAAACAAACAAACCCGAAACCATGTGGATAAAGGCTTAGCTGTCCTGACCCTTCCAGCCACTCTATTCCCAGGCACATGAGAATCTATCTTACATACAGCCTTGGTCCTAAATTATGACCCAGTTGACACACAGAGGATTAGGGAGCAGGGAGTGAAAAGCTGTAAAAAGAGGGGGAGGGAAGGCAATTCTTGAATGGTGTGGTCAGTCACTCAGCATCTCATCTAACCCCACGTAGAGTGCTGGATGCCTTCCAGCTTGCAAGAACACATTCCATCTACTTGGGAAGAAAGGGAAACTAGGAAGATTGAGAATGATCTAGAAGATGCCAGTGAATACTCACCCCTTGAGCTTAGTGCAGTAGAAATCCTGAGTACTTTTTTTTATTACTAAGGGAAAAGTAACAGGGAAGGGTGTGGCTTAATTCATGTGCTATGCTCCAATAGACCTTTGTGTATGTGTATGTGTGTGTGTGTATGTGTGTGTGTGTGTGTGTGAGTGTGTGCTGGTTGGGGTAGGGTGTTAGTGTAGTATGTATTAAATAGCAGAAATTATGCTACTATTACTTTTGCAAGTCTTGCCCAACAGGTTCGTTTTAACTGCAGTAGTTATAATGATCAGGAATGTGGGAAATAGAATGAGATGAACATTTATCTTATCTACCCTGGCTGGCTTCCTAGGGCAGAAGGCTTAGAGGTTAACTGGGAGGGGGAGAAATTCTAGTATTTCTTCCCTTCCCTTTCTTCCCTTCCTCTCTCCTCCCCTCCCCTCTCCTCTTTGTTTCTTCCCCTCACTCCTTCTTTCCCTCCTTCCCAGTACTGGGCCTGAACTCAGGGACTGAGCACTGTTCCTTAGCTTTTTAATTCAAGGCTGCCATAGCTCAACTTCTGGCTTTTGGAAACTGGAGTTAAGAGTCTCAGGGACTTTCCTGCCTGGGGTGGCATTGAACCACAATCCTTAGATCTCAGCCTCCTGAGTGGCTTGGATTATAGCCATGAGCCATGGATACCTGACAAGAAATTCTAGAATTCCTACCCTCTTTTTCCTACACCATTCTTCCCACTGTTGTTCTGGACAAGATTTCAAGCAAATTCTTCATGGTGAGAAGGCTCCAAAGACAAGAAAGGGGAGTCTGATATGATTGACAGTCAAATACTATACATAAATACTTCCTGTACAGATTAAATAATGGCATGAATTCAGTAAGGCCATTTGATAGATTATACGTGCTTGATAAATGGCCACTGTGTTTTCCATGTGTGGCTTTGACAGGAATTTTAAAACACTGACATTCAGCTGTTTTATTTGTGCACATGATCATGCCTGCTTCAGTCTGAAATTGCTTGGAAAAGTGGCTATGCTCTATTTCTCTGTGTGTGTCAATCTAGAAAGGCACTTCCTGTTAGCCACTCCAGACATATTTGTTTAATGAAGAGGATAAGATGTATTTTCTGAGTTGCATTAAAGGAGCAACAAAGGGGACATAAAGTTTACTAATAAGATGCTTTTATCTACTGTCTAAATCTGAATGTAAAGTATGCAGGCCACAGGCTTACCATTCACACACACACACACACACACACACACACACACACACACACACACACACACACAAAGCCTTCTAAAATCTCCCTGTACACAGATCCCAATACATGTGTCTACTTTGCTGCCCTAAAACCAGTCAAGTAGTACAGATTGTCCTTCTTCTGCTCATGGTTTTTCTGTTCTTATTATTCCCAGAAACACTGTAACCATGAGAAGTTAGATGTATTGTCCACATTTGGTGCTCATCATATGTGCTTATGTTTCTCACAGACATTTAGAGGCAGATGCTATATCATCTGCTACATTCAGAAAATGATTCAACACCGAATTAGAAACTCATTCAAAATGTTCTGGAGGTAAGTGTGGCCTGTCTGCCATACAGATAGTCATTGGTGCTGGGCATGTTCAAGGAGAACAAATGCTGACTTGAGTAGCAAAGATGAATGAGAACCAAAGAACAAAAAACTGAGCAAGTAAAGCCTGGTGTGGTAGAACACGCCTATAATCCCAGCACTCAGGAGGTTGAGATAGGAGGATATGGAGTTCAGGACTAGCTTGGGCCACACATTAAACCTTGTCTCAAAACAATAACAAAACAAAAAAAGGAAGGACATTAGAAGAATAAAATTGCAAAGTTTAATGTGTGGGTTATTTTGGGGGAAGGGGTAGATTCAATTGTGCCAAAACTGAGAAACCAAAAGAAAAAATATCATACTCCTGGATTCTTAGAATAATAACCTACACATATGAATTAGAAGCTGATCCCAAGTATTTAAGTTATAAAATACTCTATAAAATGGGGCACATTGTGCCAGGCTGCATTTGTTTTGGTCTTTTTCTGCCATTCATTAAGGCCTCCAAAAGAGCCTAAATAGATATATCAACATGAAAGCTATTTCTATTAATTGCTTGGTTAAGATGACCCACACATGTCAGTGGTTAGGGAGAACGCTAAAAACTGGTGAGAATTTCTCCATTGTGAATTTGCTGGATAATCAACCTTGGAAAGGGAGCTGAGCCTACTCACCGTGGTCAAGGATATATTTCACAATCTCCCCGTTGCCAGTTTTAGCTGCGTAGTGAAGAAGTGAGCAGTGGTCTGGTCCCTGAATTAGTAGACTGCCTCCATTTTTATAGCTTTCCATTAGCTGGAAGAGAGACACACAGAAAGCAACTTAGGCCGAATAATGGAACAAGGAAAATGGCTACCCAGCCATAAAACACAAGAGTCATGGAGCATACCACAAATGTTTCCAGTCTCAGAAGACATGGAGAAAAGTCAAAGAGATGAAATACCATTCTTGGACTGTGTCATCACTCACATAGACAGTGGACATTGCAACTAGCCCCACAGAGCCTCTGTGGGTATTGAACGAATGGCCCAGGGAAACTGAAATGTGCTGAATTGCTTTTTTCTTTTCTTTGCTGAGCCCTGGTCTCTGTCTCAAGGGAATGAGGGATGGGGAAAGAGAACAAAAACATCCTGAGGTTGCCCAACACTCTCTGCAGTGAGAATAATTATAACTATGGGCAGAAAGGAGCTTGTGTGTGCTCAGCTAAGCTCCTTTTCTGTGGCCTTTAGTTGTTTTTTAATAAACCTAACTGCAAATATAGGAGCTGCTTCTTTTACTTCTTACACAAAAGTTTGTACATTTGCATGCACGCATGCACACACACACACACACACACACACACACACACACACACACACACACACATACACACACACACGGGGCTTTATTTGTTTTCCACATCTTCAGCCTGGCCAGGGGCTTACTAGAAATCAGACATCACACACCGAGTGAGGGTGGTGATGAACCACAGGAAGAGAATCAGAATAGCTTGGGGAATGTAGTTGTTAGTGTGTGAGATAGGACTGGAGAAGAGGAGGAACAGAGTTGGGCGTCTGAGAGTAAGACTTGGGTAAATGAGGGTAGAATCTAAGTTCGTGAGACTTTGAACACTACAGAAAGTGCAATGAAACCTTGTTCTCCAAGCTTCAGGACAAGTGGCCCATGTGTGAAGCTCTAAAATGTAGTGTGTGGACAAATAAGAACCTGATAACCCCAGAGGTCTTAAGCAAAGATGAAATGCAACTCAGTGACTGGCTTCAAAGGCCTCAGCATACACAGAGGACAGAGGGACAAAGAATTACACAGAAGTGGAGAGAGGCTGACAGGAGGAAACAGGAGAAACAAAGCAGGATATGGGAAGGGAGCAAGGAAGGTGGCCGAGGAACTGGAATGGAGGTAACCCCAGAACCTGTAGGGTCTGTCAGCCTTAAGCCGTGTGACAAAAGCCATTTCTCAGGATTAAAAAGAGAACCTTGTTCTGTTTGACTACACTGCCCTGGCAAGGAGACCCCTGCCCCACCCACCCAGCTCACAAAGGATGACATTACAGACCCAGTCACACTCAGACACCTTGCTCTGCTTTTCTGTGGGGCTGTTAAACATGGTGGCTATTCATTAGCTCCTTGGCATCTTATATAGCTCAGTGATACAGGGACTGTTCTTGATAACTGGTGGGGGAGGGGCTCTTAGGGTCTTTTGTTCTCTAGCAACTCCCCCACTCTTCCTCTCTTTGTGTCTCTCATGTCTATCTGTGTCTGCCTGTCCCTTTCTCTTCTCTCCTCTCTCTGTCTCTCTCTTTCTGACTCTTTCTCTATATCTTTATTTGTATATCTGTCCCTCTCCCTTCTTTTTGCTGTCTCTGTGTTTCTTTCTCTCTTTGTCTCTCCTAGTCTTTCCTTCTCTCTCTCCCTCTCATCTATTCTTCTATATCTATATCTATATTATCTATCTTTCTATCTCTCTCTCATACACACACATGCATACACAATGCCACTTTTCTGTTTGATATGTGATTTCTACACAGAAGAGACAAATAAAAGAAGATTGTGAAGATGAAACACAAAGAGGAAAAAAAAACTTGAGACTTAAAAGGAAAAATTATATGTAAGGAGAGAAATTGCTGAGAAATAAAATTCTCAGCTTGAACTCAGAGCCTGGGCACTTGGTGTCTCTGAGCTTTTTTGCTCACTGCTAGAACCCTGCCCCTTGAGCCACAGTTCCACAGCTTTTTGGTGGTTAATTGGAGATAAAGCATCTCACAGATTTTCCTTCCTGGGTTGTCTTTGAATCTTAATTCTCAGATCTTAGTCTTCTGAGTAGCTAGCATTATAGGCATAAGCCACCTGCACCTGGCCGTTTGTTTTTTTTTTTTTTTAAACTAAATGAGCTGCCACTTCTCAGCCATTTAGGGAATGTCTATTAGGTAAAATGTAAGACACCCAGTTGGACATAGTGATTTCCCATATTTCAGATAATTCTGTTAAGTATAAAAAATGTGGTGATACAATCAGGGGCCTGGGAAATTGGTAGATAGGATATAAAATGAAAAGGCATTTAATGCATAGTACTTTTCAAAATGTTCTGGCTTTGAAGCAATCCAGAGCGAAGATGGGTCTTCCTTCCTATGGAAGCAAATATTGCTCCTTGCAGGCACAAGGAAGGAGCTGGTTCCCCACTGCTGAGAATGTGGGACTCACACGTATACCACTGAGGAGCCCTTCCTCAGCAACAACCCCTACTGACACTACCTTCTAAAATGGTAAAGAGGCCACTGTCAGTGTTATGGACCTACAGATGGAGTTGGCCAATATACTTGAGCCTTTCTCCCTAACCTGTTAGAAATGTATTACAAGTATTGATGTATCTAACATATGCAGGAAGGAAGGAAGGAAGGAAGGAAGGAAGGAAGGAAGGAAGGAAGGAAGGAAGAAAGGAAGGAAGGAAGGAAGGAAGGAAGGGAGGGAGGGAGGGGAAAGGAGGGAAGGAAAAAGGGAGGAGGAACGGGTTAAAGAAATGAGAAAAAAAGATAGTAAAGAAAAGAAGAAGAAAGCGGAAAAGGTGATACTTCTCAACATTGTTGACAGATCTTTGGTTCTCAGTGTGCACTGACAGCTTGCTACTTGGGCTGCCGGAAAGGCACAGACTGCAGGCAGAGCAAGCCCCACTGTTACAGGGGAGAGCCGCCATGTCAGTGGGTTTGCAGAGTTACTTGGGCAGTCATAAGACCTCAGGCCTGAAGTTTCTATGAAACCAAGAACTTTTAGAATGCTGACAGACCCTATTGTTTAAGCAATATTTCTATTCCTACTATGCTTAGCTTAGTAAAATAACACAGATTAACAGGGTGGTATGCATAAAATAGCGAACATTTTAGAGTCCTTTCCATCTAACAGGATAGCCTTGACCTCTCTTCCATGTATCATTCAGTCTTTACCACAAAGCAAGGAAAGATATATTGTCGAGTTATCATCCCATTTTACAGATGAAAAAAAGCAGCTGAGGCCCAGAGAGTATTCAATCATTGCATAAAGCCTCACATTAGTGAATACCAGAGCCATCATCTGAAATCAATCATGCTGGGGCTGGATCATTTCCTGTCCTGTGAACTAAATGCACCAGCAAATATAAACACACATTGAAATGTTCAGAGTAAACCCCAGACAGTCCTTTGTGGCTTAATTATCCCCAGAGTATAAAATTATAAGAATGGGAAAATATAAACTCTGGGCTGGAGAATGCATTTCTGGGTCAGGTCCGGGTTCTTCATACAAATGTACCCATCCTAATCACTGTCTTTTTAAATTCTTGAAATGTCAGCAAGAATGCTGAGCAGAAATGCTGGGCAGTGTGTTCACTGTATCCATGGAAGATATGGGTCCATTGTAACAAATCCAGGCAAGTCCTAATCAGGGAATTCTACTGCAATCCCTTTGCTATTGGGAAACACAAGCAGGCTGTGTGGGTTCCTCTCATTCTCTGCTTATTTCTCAAAAGAGCAGCCTTCCTCCTCCTCCTCAGCTCGGGCAGATAACTGATATATGGGCTCTTGAGATTTGGCGAGACATAATACTGACTTAAGAGTTTTAATAGAATCACCAAAGTTTTGATAGGAAGATATCTTACCTTCATAAGGTCACCAGCTACAACTGCCTGTAAAATTGCTGCGAACGACAAAAGAGAGACATCTCGTTAGTCACAGACCCTCTTGTAGGGATCTTCTACAAAAGGTTGGGTGAACACAGTAGAAAGGGAACCTACATGTTGGTAGGAACCAGAAAAGGAGAGACATGCCAATCTGAATCTTGATCAAACAGATAAAGAGCTGAGGTATCAATCCCTTATTCCAGAGCCTTCCTGAGCCTCCTCCTTACCCTCACCCCCAGCGCCGGTATACTAAAGACAACAGAACATTTAGAATCATATAGATTGGGCTCAAATATTAGCTTAGAAGCTGTGGAGAAGTGGGTGAACCATTTAAAATCAGCCTCACTTTCCACATGGTAAAAGACAAAGCAGGTCAGATTTCCTTCTGGCCCATTTTTCAAAAACCTGATTGGTCAACTAAAAGATCCAATCATGACTACAGGTTCTTTCTCTCTCTCTTTCTTTCCTGTCTTCCTTCCTTCCTTCTCTATGTCTGTTTTCCTCTGTCTGTCTGTCTGTCTGAATGTCTGTCTATCTGTGTGCCAGGATTGCTATTGAACTAAGGACCTTAGCTTTTTCACGTGACACTTGAGCCACAGCTCTATTTTGGCCTCTGTGTGTATATGTGTGTGTGTGTGTGTGTGTGTGTGTGTGTGGTTAATACGAGATAAGACTCTCCTAACTGGGCTGGCTTCCAACTGAGATCTTCACATCTCAGTTTCCTGAGTAGTTAGGATTACAGGTGTAAGCCACTGGCACTGACTGGATTCTTCTTTCTTACCAGTTCCTCCTACTTGGAATGCAAGGAGTCACAATTCTTTTTACTATAAATGTTATAATGATGATACTCATTGCTGTGAGTGGATATGAAGAGTACTAGAGATAGCAAAGAGGAAGCAAGGCTATTTTAATTTTGTTCTGGAGAGAATAACCATATGTGTATCACTAAATTCATAGATGTCTATTGGGTTAAGAGCTTTGGTAACTTATACTAGTTGTGATAAAATAGAATACATTAAAGGGGAAAATATATGTCTGTCTGTAAACAATTATAGTTCCCAATGGGAGCTTTTTACTTCAGTGTGGAAATGGCACCTTGGGTAAATTTTCATTGAGTAGCAGTCAAAAGTACAGTAGGAGAGCACCAGCTGTGGGTAAGGAGAGATGCCCAGGGCAGGGGTTGTTAAATTCACTGAGGGGCACAGGATTGAGTATCTCCCTTAGCCAAAGTAGAAACCTTGTAAACCTATGGCGCAGAGAAGGGAAGTTTCATTGTGGAAGAAAATGGAAGCAGGAAAATGAATGGAAAACAGGAAGGGACAAAGCTATAGCAATGCTCAATTTTCATCTCCTTTCAAATTCCAGGGTAATCATTTGCATATGGCAGTCATACACACATGCATAGTTGAGCTGACTGGAAAGAAAGCAAAAGAGAGTAAAAGAAGGAGGGGAGAGATGGAAATAACTGCAGCAAGGGAACGAGTAAAATGCTAGGTGTCAAAAGAACCCAAGGAAAAAACATCATCGTCTCTTCGTTTTATAAATGTGACTCGAGTGCTTTAAGTAAATAGTCTCTCTTAGGGCAGAGAGCCAGCCATGGTCCATTTAGCACCACAACGCAGGCCCCATGTCTACTCCAGGCATCTCTCTAGTCCCCCAATAATCTCACTCTATACAGAGCTCTACTAGACTCTAAGACGCAGAAAATACCATTGCTAGGACCACCTTATTGTGGAAAAACTGTTGGGAGAGGATGTAATTTCAACACCATCATTTATGAAGTGCACACATGTAATGGGTTCTTCAATCTTTCAGAGTCAACTTTCTCCTCTGCAAATGAGGTTAACAATTGTACTTCTTATTGCTCTAGCAAGAACCAAAGTTTAGAAAGTGTTTCTTTTTTTTTATCATGCTGTTTTATAGTGCTGGTGGCGAGTGGCTATAATCCTAGTTCTCACAAGGCTGAGATCTGAGGATTGTGGTTGAAAGCCAGCCCAGTCAGGAAAATCTGTGAGACTCTTATCTCCAATTCACCACCAAAAAGCAGAAAGCAGAATCTGTGGCTCAAGTGACAGAGCACCAGCCTGGACACAAAAGCTCAGGAACAGCTCCCAGGCCCTGAATTCAAGCCCTAGGACTGGCATTAAAAAAGAGGATTAAACCTTAATTAAGGGAGGATTTCATTGCATCTATGACTGTATGCAAGTGCATGAAAAAGATATATGAACCCTTCAGAAGGAGCCTTCCAGTAAGGATAATCTCGGCACGTGAAGTTGGACAGACATATCTCTGTTACACAGCACCTTTAGGAAGAGAAGCACTGATAAAGAGCAGCCAACGGCAGTGCTTGAATTCTAGACATAAAACATAGTAAAGGACAGAAGGAGCAGTTGGAGAAAGTATTAGACATCATGACTGTTGTCTTGGCTGAGTGGGAGGAAGCTAGTAAAAGGGGAAGATGACTATTCACAATAGCCAAGATATAGAAACAGCCCAGAGGCCCACAATAGATAAGTGGGTCCAAAAAATGTGGCACCTATGCACAATGAAATTTTACACAGCCATTAGAAAGAATAAAATAATGCAATTTGCAGGGAAATGGATGGAACTAGAACAAATCACGTTAAGTGAAGGAAGGCAAGCTCAGAAAGACCAATGGCACATATTCTCTGATATGCAGAAATTAGATCTAAAACACACAAGGATATGCCAAATTATATGGGATTCTAAATACTCACACAGTGAGACCAAAATAGGATACTCTTAGGAGAGAAACACAAAGGCACAGTACCTAAGTGCCTTTTCATCTTTATATAAAATAATATACATATTGAAATGAACTCCAACATATAGAAACAAGGAAATTTATTTCTTTTTATTCTCTATCTATCTATCTATTGGTTTTTATTTTTTGGTGATTCTTCTTTACCTAATGTATGGTGTATTCAAGTGTCTATTTTCGGTAGGGCTAGGGGAGGGTACAAAACTCAAGGGAAAAAGGGTGAAAAAGTGCAGCAATGGAACTCATTGGACACTGATGAAAGTAAACTCATGGGTAGAGAGAGCAGGGAGGGCCTGGGAGCAAGTGAAGGGACAGAAGACATTGTACCAAAGGAAATGTACTCAGTACATTGCCTCCATAATAACAATAAAGTAAATGAACACACACACACACACACACACACACACACACACGCACACACACACACACTCACTCACGCACACAGGGACAGATGAATAGAAAGAGGAATGATAGGCAAATACAGACAGAATATTCAACGTACAAACTTAAAATGGACCTAGAAAGTTGAATAAGGCAGGTGGTTGAAAGGGGCTTGAAGGAGGTATTGAAAATGATGGGAGGGGTGACTCCATCAAGAAAGACACATAAATGGACATGTTAAATGGAAATCCCCTGTACAACACTGTAAAGATAATAATAATTAAAAATAAGGTCACAGGTGAAAGGGAACTTTTCAGTTTGTACTTTTACACCCCAAGGTATCTTGATTCTAATAGAATATCCAGTTTACAGGAAAGAAGGGGGGGGGAATTTTCATGAGGGAACACTCCATATAAAGCCTTGTAATACACCAAAGCAGAGAGCCTGTGTTTTAAAGACCATATGGAACCCTTTTCTCAGAAAAGCTCAGAAGCACACAGAGAGAAATAGACAGAGAAGAAAGGAGAAAGAAATTACACCTAAGTGAGTCTATTTAGCACAGCCCATTTCTCCACCAATCCATCCACAAAAAAAAAGACCGAGTTAAAAGTATTGGTCAGCAGCATGGTTCACAGATTTCTTAAAAGAGGGTTGATCCAATTCATTTATAAAAAGTAGAATGATTTCTCAAATGAAGAGCATGACCAAAAAAAAAAAAAAATAGTCATAGTGCCAAGTGCAGCACAGCATTTCACACTTATCCTAGCTACTCAGAAGGCTGGGAAAGGGAGAATCCCAGTTCAAGGTCAACCCAGTTGAATCTCTTTCTTTCTTTCTTTCTTCCTTCCTTCCTTTTTTCTTCCTTCCTTCCTTCCTTCCTTCCTTCCTTTCTTTCTTTCTTTCTTTCTTTCTTTCTTTCTTTTTTTGTCAGTCATTGGGTTTGAACTCAGGGCCTTGGAGCTGTCCCTGAACATTTTCATTCAAGACTAGTGCTCTATTTTGGGCCACAGTGCCACTTACAGTTTTCTGGTGGCTAACTGGAGATAAAAGTTCCATAGACTTTCCTGTCTGGGCTGGTTTGAACTGCGATCTTCAGAGCTTAGGCTCCTGAGTAGCCAGGTTAATGGACACGAGCCACCGGCACCTGGTGACAAATAGGTTTGGGGACCCCTCACCCACCAATAACCAATAAAAAATCTGGACATAGTGGAATGCATCTCTTATATTTACACATCAGGCCAAATGTGTAAACAAGAGCATTATGGTCTCAGTCCAAGCCCAAAGCAAGATTCTATTAAAAAATAATAAGTAAAACATAAATAGCTGGAGGCATGGCTCAAAAGGTAGAGTCCCACTTACCAAGTGGAAGCTACTGAGTTCAGACCTCATTCTGGCCTTTACCCAGAACAAAAAATAAAGAAGCCATGATGCTTAAGACCTTTATATTGTCACACCAAAGTAGACAGTAATTTCTAGTAGCCGGCTACGTCCATTCACAGATTCCCTTCGAGAGCACCCACCAAGACTGGGCACTTGACTGAAGAGTTCAAAGCAAGTCAGGGGACATACAAATGCCTTCCAGCAGGCCACTTCCATTCTGCTCTTCCCCTTGTGAAAACAGAGTTATGACCTGCTCTTAGCTTCTTTCCCCGCCCCCGCCCCCCAGGCCCACAGCCAGAGCTTCTTTCAGCTTCTACCTTTGTTATTTATTCTTGTTGGTTTCCGACAGCCTCCCAGTGTGAAGTCCCCATGAATAGAGAGAGGATCATATAACAGAATCATAACCACAAATAATTTCCATTGTACTGGATATGGAAAGCATGAATATTTATTTTTAAGCCAAGCAATACACCC